TGTGCAGATAAAAATACTCAAATTGACAATACTTCTAAAAGTGTTAAGTAGTCATATATTTAAATTAGAAAATGGTAAATCTCTTCTAACACCCTTTATGTTTCATGTTGTTTATTTCTTTTTTTACCATGACAATTAAAAGCTTCAGGAGCTTATTTATTAAACATAAAAGTGACAAATGGCTACAAGAAAAAGCAGAAAAAAAGCTGCAGATTATGCAAGACTTGAAGGACTTTTGTAGACGCATCAGCCCTTAAACACAAGACAGTATTTGTCCTGAAATCACTGTCAACATGTAAAATCTTAGAGGTCTGATATCCAGATGTGTAACCTGTTCACAGCTCATGATGAGTGACTCACACAAGTTCTCGTGTTGTAATCTACAGCCCCACCTGTGGTTTACTGCAGTTTGGTTGCTCGGAAGACCAAAAGTATTTTGTCTTATGCCAGCGTGGTTTACTTCTAAGAAAGGCTCTATGGAGTGTCAGCCGGTCTTATGAAATGTGCTTTATAAATATACTCTTTTTGGCTTGACTCACGAGTGCTTGTGCCTTCTTTTGATCGTGTAAAATGTGTGCAACCAGTGAGACAGAAGGGGGATGACAGGATGTATCATGTTTGTTGCTGCAGAAGCTGGCATGGAAGCAAAGATCAGAGGGGTAAACAGAGACATAAAAAAAGTGACATAGAGAGAGACAGGGCGAAGAAGAATATGTATGAAGTGGAAAAAAACATGCAAGAAAGAGGAGAGACAGAAGGAGTTAAGGAAGGAAAGGAAGTCTGAGTAAGGAGAGTCAGAGGATCCAGAGAGATGAAATACCAGGGATGACAAATCTGCAGAACGCAAAAGTACAAGAAGTGAGAAAGAAAAACAAGTCAGAGCAGCGAGCAGGCGTGGAGTCAGTCCCTTGGTAAACAGACGGCCGGCCGGCTGACAGGGTGACCTCTCCACCGCGGCAGCCACTCACAACACTTGTTGCCTTATTAGGGGTGTCTACAGGGAGCAGAGGCAGGGTAGGAAAGGTGGGGGGGGGTCTGTGTGTAAAGGGTGAGAAAAGCGTCAGACGGACGAGGTGAGTGAGTGTGCAAGTTAGCAAGACAAAGACAGTTGAAAAGTGTATGACAAGTGAAACAGCTGGATTTCTATTATAGGGGTTCAAATCACTTTGACTTCAGAATGGTGTTTTCCTACCCAGCTGTTGTGACACACTTTGGATTATTTATTAATAATACGCATCATATTTTTATCACACTGATGATTTTTAAAGGAAAGAAGCTCAAAATGTAGTTTGTTTCTCCCGACATGTTTTTTTCCACACTAATGCAAAGATAATTAGAAGGAAAGTTGCAGACTAATCGATGCATTACTTCTTAGTTCTTCAAGTTCATTGGCGCAAAAGACAGAAGATTAAAATAAGACAGAAGTAGACAGTAGTGCACAGTGGTGGCTGGTCAATAGAGGGCGCTAGGGTGCTGCCCATCCACTCCCCACTAGGAGGATGACAGACATTCATTAAATAAGATTTTTTTAAAATTTGTTTACAACAAAGGCATGCAACATTTTAAAAGGGCAAAGTAAATATTTAGTAGTTATTATTAATCTCCTACAAACATGTAGATTTAAAACTTCTTGTCTAAAGTTACTGATTACTGTTACTGAAGACCCTAATTTCACTTTAAAAAGCACTATTTTCAGATTGTAAAGAGACATTTATTCTGCACCTTGTCTTGTTTGTCTATGTAAAATTTTCACGTTTTAACATTTTCAAAAGAAACGATGCGCAGACCGTCTCTATGACACACTTTTACTTTTTCAAATAAGAAACAGAAATAAGGGTAGGAGGAGTTAATTCATTAACTTTTTAAATGTTCAAGGAGACGCTTTAGTATGCATGTGAGTATTTGTTTATCTCACTGCAAGGGCAGAAGTGACCGTGATGTAATGATCGATTATGTGACCAGACACTTTAATCTCCAATACCTCCTCGTCAGACTCCAATAGTCACACTACCTGGTTTGATGACTGAGTGGGAGTCATCCTCTATTGGATAACACTGTGTCTCCGCCCACTCTTTCTACTGAAGCTGTATCAATTACGTTCAGGAGTGTCATTTTATTTATTTTTTATTTTCTTTTACAAATTGCTCTCGGTGCTGCTTGTAATGAGAAAAGATTAGAAGTGTAGAAGGAAATTATGAAAACTGTTCTTCTGCATTTCATTTGGCAACCTAATTAGCTAAACTGTCATTCAGACAAATCTTTCAGTGGAAAACTCACAACCATAATAAACCATTCGTACGTGGAATTCATAATGTCATGATCTTGTGGACTCTAGCTGTTAAAAGTAGACTAGACAAAGATATCACAGCATTAGGTAACAGGGTTGATTATCACACAATTTTGGCTTTAGCTTTGGGAAGTTTGATGAGCTCCTGATGTGTGTGTGTGTGTGTGTGTGTTTAGTACACCATCTGACTTCCAGCAGCCCTGGTCTGGACCCTTTACCACCCCCTGCAGCCCTGCTGGCACCCTCCTCCAATCCTGTCCCAGCGTTTTTATCATCAAGGCTAATTTCTGCCTGTAATCTGATTAGGGCTCTGAGCTGCTTTAGCACCCTGCTGTGCTGTCTCTCTCCCTCAGCTCCCTTTGCGTGCACACACACACACACACGGACATGCGCACACACACACACACATGCACACACATTCTGTATGACAGCCAGTGTTTGCAGGCTGGAGTTTTTGCTGTGTAGCCAAGGGCGGTCAGTCTGCTGTGGCCGTGTTCTTGTCAGTGTGTGTGTGTGTGTGTGTGTGTGTGTGTGTGTGTGTGAGAGAGACCTCCATCCTTTCCTGCCTGTCTGCTGTTTGCCGGTTGCTGCCCTCGCCTCCACCTCTGTCAGTCCTGCTGTTCACCTCCATCAACTTCCGCTGTGACCGAAGGAGATCCTAGCAGCGGGGCATCCTTCTGTTCTTCTTCCTAAACATGTTTCGAAACCCATGGATCTCTAGTTACCATGTGAACCATGTGCAGCCTTGTGGCCAAGGTAAGGCCTGCGAGAATGGAAGGATTGGTCCAGTTGTAGGACGACTTACATAACCCAGAGTATCACTAACTCTACCCTCTGCTGTAGGGACTTTGCTCATGTAATTTAGCTTCTTGCTTTCATTGTTGACTCCTTACCATGTTTTGTTTGCTCACTTGGATTGGATGAAATAAGAATTCATGACGTAAGATTGGAAGAATTAGCGGAAGTATTCCGGGATTTAGGGATTTGAGAGAGATTTACCGTATCAAAACACTGAACTACTACTATTGGCATGTGTATTGACAACAAATGTGACTGAGGAGTAAAAGATCATTTTAACACATTGATTAGATGCTGTACACTCAACAGGTGTGTGCAGGTTACCGGTATGTATCTCCCTGTTTCCTCCACTTTGATGTTGTACCCTCTATCATCTCCTGTTGAGACGTAGAAGTGCTGCAGCCCTTCCAAACAGATTGTGTGCAAGTGAAGGCTAGAGAGTCTATTTTGCACCTCTGAATATTTATAGAAAATCCCTCTCCTCACCGCGCTCACTTTGGGACAGTCAGCAGCATAAGCTGATCTCTGGCACTGCCAGCTTTGAGCCTTGTGTACTGCTTGTTTTGTTGACAACCTGAAGGCGTTTCCAAGGAAAGCTGAACTGACTTCTGTGCAAGGGGCTTTCCAGAAAAGAAAAATAGACTGTTAAACGTTAAGCGCAACTCCACAAGGGTCCCGCCTGCTCAAAAAACATGGCCTTACTAATTTAGGTAATGAAAGAAGAGAATCAAAGTTGTCTCATCTCGTCATCTAGAATCAGTTCTTTACATCCCAGGGACAACACAAATGATGCAGTCGTTTCATTCAAAATGAAGACCTCCAACTCAGATTTCTGGCTACATATGTGTCTAATTCTGATTAGTTTATTGCATCACATCACATTCTTCCAAAGCACAGTGTAGTCCTTGAACTTAATCATGAGGGTGTCTTTCTACCTCCACTACGTTCACTTCCTCACTGTCTCTCCTGCCAAACGTTCTTGTTATGTATTGCCACACCGTCTTCAGAGACCAAAATAAGAAGGAGGTGTTCTGAAGGCGTCTGGAGCAGTAACAGGATCTGTCTCCTATACTGGGGTATAACTTTACAACGAGGCTGCTGTTGCCATGACGTGAGCGCGAAAGGGGTCGCGTCAAGCTGGGAACTGGGTGTGAACTTTCTGAGTTACTGAAAAGTGACTCATACTGAGGCTGGAAGTTTCCTGTCAGAACCTTTAAGGCACATTGTTGATGTTTACTTTGACAGACAGACCGTGCCCTCTCTAATTGAGCTCTTAGGTAATAATCCGAGTACGGTCAAGTCAGTTTATAACACAGATTTAAAACCGCAAGATAGTCCTTTACCAAAGGACGTAGATGAAGACATCGAGTTAAAGAATGGGAGAAAAAGGTTAAAAATAGTTTAAATGACCACATAGCAGTAGAAATGTCCACTGCAGTGCATTAACAAATATCATTATGAGTAAAAGATTTACAAAACTTTACAACAAAGAACTATCAGGGTTGAAAGTCAAAAAGAAAGTCAAAAAGTTGCGACCGTGCAGTGATGTGAGATGCTTTGTAGTTCTACCCTGCAGGTTGTTTAGATCAAAAACCACACTGAAAAACACCACAGGCTAAATCTCCGACAACAAGTCGATGAAATAAGATTAAAGAGGCCCAATTTGGGTAACACATCTGAGTTCAAAGGCTAATTCACTTCCCAAACACTGCACAGCAGCTTATCATGCTATTAGACAGGATTTTACAAGTCTGAGCAACTGTCATTTTATCCCCAATCTTGACCAATTGAAAAGTAAACAGCTAATTAAACGGGTTTATGTTAATGCCAGAAAAAAAAAACTCTTAAAAATCAGAAACATCTTTTCCTACTCAGTTGGGTGAAGACTGATTCTTGTTTCTCTTCTTAGGAATTGAATCTGAAGCTCCTACCAAACTTTGCAGCTCCATCTCTCTGCCAACAGAAACTTTAAGGTGAGCTTTTTTTTTTGGACGTGGGTTGTTGGATTGTTTTATCTCACATGGACCAGCAGTCTAAGAGTCTTTGTGGTTTTAGTTTATACATTGGAGCTACAGAGTCACCTCGTTGTGTTTTCTAAGACCATTTACATTCTTCTCATTTTTTTCCTCATCATCAAGATGTGGATATGGAAGCCCATAGGTTAACTCCAGTATACTGCTTTAGCTTACCGTGCACAGTAAGCATTAAAAGCTGGGGATGCCTGGAACAGCTTATCTTAAGACACTTTTTTGATCACATGACGTTATGGTCATAACACCTCCTCCAGGAGCACAAAGCCCTCCTTTGCAGAAGTTTACAGTGTCGCATTAAGCTTCAGCATGGTAAGCTAAAGGTAAGCTCATGGAGCAAGTTAGATCAAATAAACCAAATAAACAATTGTAATTATGTACTTTATTTTGTACTAAACAGTTTTGAAACAGGAACTTTTCCTGAAAATTAAGAGAAGGATGTGAAAGATCAGAAAAGGCAACACAATAAGAAGCTTGTTTGTGTTTTATGTTATATATAGCATAGGGAAGCTAAAGAGAGACAGGAAATGTTGGGAGGAGAGAGAGGGGTTTACATGCAGCGGAGGGCTGAGGTTGGATTTGAACCCACGGCTGCTGCAACTAAGGCCTCTGTACACAGGGAGCGCGACATAACAGGCTCCGGCAGTTTTGGGGCGCTGGAGGCATGCCCCATGTACGGAGGCTGTAGGCGCAAGGCGGTCCAGGTTCAAATCACGCCTGTGGCTCCTTTCCAGCATGCAATTCCTCTCTCTCTCTCTCTCTCTCTCTCTCTCTCTCTCTCTCTCTCTCTCTCTCCCTGATTTCGTATCTCTCCACAAAAAGCCCAAATAAATATAAAAAATAAAATAAAATCTCTTGCAGTTTTGAAATGCCTAATCTCATTTCCATGACTCCATAAGAGTACAATTTGATCTTTTGAGTTATCTCATACAGAAGGTTCAAACTCTCTCTAATGTTTTAAGAGCTTTGTATATTATCACAAATTGTTTATAAGAATTAATGACAATTGTTATCTGGAAATTGTAAATCTTTTTTAAGACAAATCATTTATAAACCTGTGAAATATTTTTGGGAAGCTTTTCGTAAAATGAAGGAAGGGATAGTTTACTCTTGTGCAAGCTGTTGTAGCATGGCGACTTAGGAGAAGAGCTTGATTGTCTTTTTCCACTTGGAGGAGAATCAGGACTTGATGACATAGTTCTTAAGCTGGATCCCGCTGGCGGTGACACCAGCTGATCGTCACCTTTACCTGCCATCACCTCTTTAAGACATGTTTGAGACAGAGTCGCTGGCCAAGCACAGTTGGAGCTGGTTTTATTCTAAATCAAGCATCAAAACATAAAAAAGCACTTTGACATTTTATTATTACATTGTTCATTTGTTTTTTTAATCGACTATTTTATATAAATATTTACTCTGCATTTTTAGAATTCGTAATTATAAAACATTGATCTGGTTTCTCTCTTTGTCTTCCTTTGAAGTTTTCAGAGTGACTTTTCCTTGGCTGACAAGACCGCCTTGGTCAAGAGTGTTTCAACCACAGATGCCAAACGTCTGGCAGTCCTTCCGAAGGGTTTGAATTGATTCTTACCAAACTCCATAACTAAGAGTAAAACAAATGGTTGGATTTCTTTTAATTCTGTGAAACTAAATGTTCATTTTTGATTCAACATTCAGTTTCAGAGTTGAAGAAATACTTTGAAGGATCTGTCAAACAGGATTTCAGTATGAACAGGTACCTTCAGATCTCAATACATGAGCTTTAGACCTAAAGACATCCTGATGCTTTCATAAAGTGTAACTCATGACGATCCTCTTTTGTTTTCTGACAGGAAGGAGAGGATAGCTCGGCGGCTGGAGGGGATTGAAAGCGATGCTCCGCCTGCTCTGGTGCCCGGTGGTTTGGTAGCCAACAGAATGCTGGAGGAGGATCCTCCGCGATACACCCGCGCCTCCGATAACTGTGAGCCATGTGTGATGGGTAAGCATGGCACGATGCACTGCAAGAGTTCTCTATATGATGCTGCCTATAGACAAATTCTAGGCTGGTTTGTAGCTGCCATTACTGCGGTGGCATCTCAGCGTCTGCTGCTGCCTGTTCACTGTGACAGCAGCTTTCAAAGTTAAACTATTATATTATTGTCTCGATCCGTCTCTGAAGAATATCTTAGTCCTTTGCACGGCCAGTGAATGTGTGTTAAGTGTCCGCTCTCTTAGAGTGTGTTTTACATTCACTCCCCGTTTTCTCACAAATTTAAAAGCCTTTCCTGACGGTTAGTAAACTGTAAATCTCCACAGGTTCTTCCTGAAAACCTTTACATTGCTGTAAAAGGTAAAGTTATGTAGAAAGTACCGTAAAAGGTAGGACATTTTCCATTTAAAGGACTGCTTGCAATCAAACACGCAGCTGATAAAAGGAAGATGCCACCGCAGTAATGGCTGCTTTTCAACTTCCGTTTCTTTTTCTCCAGATCGGTCTATAGTGAACTTGGATTGAAACTCCTGAAATGTTGATAGATGTGGTTATAGTAGGCAGCAGTACAGCATGGCCTGACATTCTGAAAGAAGTTTGTTTCACTGGAATGATTCCATACTTGTGTCATGTGTGATTAACAGTAGCAAGCCTTTCCATCATTAGGCAACTCAGGACAGACCTAAGATTGCAAAGTTTGTGGGCCTGTGCTCCCTAACACATTTTTTGCAATGGCAGCGAGTACAACCTCCATTTCAGATAACTTCTCATCAGCGTTTACTGTTGCTAGGTTACGCAAGTTATCTCATGGCACTTTCTCCTCCTTGGTCGTTACTGTTAAGCCTGTTTTAAATGTCCCTCCTATAAATGATTTTGAGGGAGAAGTGACATTGATGAGCGTGCAGTCTTCCAAAACTTCAATTATTTTCAACCAAGGGTGCTATGATCGAGTGACAAAAGAAAACTGCTGACAAAGGGCATTTTTGAAGTTCAGCATTTTCAGTGGAACTGCAAAAAACGCCCTCAGCATTGCTAGACTGAGTGCTAAACTGATATAAACCGAGATAGTTGTTCACACATGACACAAATGTGGCAGGATAGATCATTTAAATGTTGTCAGGAAATGATTTTGATAACTATTTCCCCTTTTTTAAAACAGTGAGGCGCTACAGTCGAGAGGAGCTGGAGTCCCCAAAGAAGCAGCCAGTACCTCAGGACAGATCCCCGCAGGTCAAAGCTGGTGTTGGCAACGCCCGTCAAGAGCCAATGTTGGTTTATGTTGACCCAGTGACGTTATCCACCACTTCTACTCCAACATCTGGTTCCGCAGACCCCGCAAGCCTCAGTTCCAAGGCTGAGCGCATCGCACGCTACAAGGCCGAGCGCCGCCGGCAGCTTTCAGAGCGTTATGGCATCCAACTGGATCAGGAGTTGGATATTGATTACAAACCACGCTATCGTTCACGGCGTGATCCAGACGCCTCTGACCGACAGACAGCTGTCTCACAAGAAAGAATCAAACAGGAAGCAGAGGAAAAAGAACAGGACCCAAGGGTGCCGTACCGTGCTGGAGTGGGCAGGGTTTACATGAGGACTCACCCAGATCCTGCATCTGTTTCTGCTTCCAGCCCCGCCCACTCAACCCAGGCCCCTCCCCCGACACAAGAACGGCCGAGGGGGTTTTCGGAGAAGGAAAGAGCGATGAACATGGAGAACTACCGGCGAGGCGGGGCTCAAGAGCGCTCGGCAAGAAGTAGAACCCAGGAGAACCATCCTCTCCCGGCCCAACAGCAGCAACGACTCGCCCACCATCAGGACGCCGCCCACCAGGAGCCAAGCCCCGCCTCCACCAGGGATTACAGTATCGCAGCAGTACCCAGCTCCCCTCGCACTGCCCGCCGGGCCTCCCTGCCCTCCACTCGCTACGGCATCTCACCTGGGGATTTATTCATAGAGCAGCAGGCCCAGAGCATCCTCAACAGGCAGGGGTGAGTTACAAAAACCTTCTTTAGTCATGAAGTATGGTGAAGCAACCAACGAAACATCTAGACATGGCTCTGAAACTGTGGTTAACTAGTGCCCAAAATATGATAGAGTTTGAGTAATCCAAGAAAATAAACATTTCTGATATTGGATTATGTCCAAAGTGAAAGAAAAAAACATCATCATTATGTCATCATACCATCAACTATAAACAATAGACTTAGGATGGAAAAAGTGGTTGTTGCAAATGTAACGTCACCTATTGGTTTGTGGGACAACATTTGAATTGGAGCTGAGGTGAGAAAGTTGTGAAAGTTTTCGGCTTACTCTAGTGCTACCTTTGTTAGCTAGCTGCATCAGTAATTCAAGGTTACATTGATGTAAATGGTGCGCTAAGGTTGGCTATCAAAACACAGGCTTGAAAAAAGATTGAAAGTGAAAGTGACTTGGGAATCACAGTCTGGCAAGGCCCTAAATCTTCCCCTGCTTTACTGTAAATGAGACTAAAGCGAGCATTATCTGTATTGTATATGTTTGAAATTTAGGGTTGAGACCATTTAATAAGAAAATTGTTGCTGGTTGTTGAAAACAAGTGAGAAGTATGGTTGTTTTCTTATCTGCTTGATTCAATTTGACCTATTCCACAAATGGGGTCGCCCTCTACTGGCCACTGAAAGAATGCAGGTTTAAGAGATTTCCATGATGGCTTCACTTTCCAAATTTCAGGGCTGCGTCCAGTTCTCAGAAATGGATTTGCCTCTGAAAGATCCATTGAATTCTAAATTTCATTCAAGCATATCAACACATCCTTCTGCATCACGCTCGTCTGCGAACAGAACATGAACACATACAAGTTTCGACCCTCTCTGTACTGTGGACTATACATAGGAACCTGAATTATACATGGCAGTGTGTTTTTAAGCCTTTTTTGTTGTCCTGTTCACTTCCAATTGTCGCTGAGGTAGAGGTTGATTGGTTGAGTTCTTGTTTCTCCAAACGAACCCCAATACAATTCAGACGTTTTTACTTAAATTAAAAGAGACTTCATAAATTTCTAGGGGAGGGGATTCACTTTTTGACACTGAATACTGTTCATAATAAACTGTGGGAGTTTTGGTTCAAATTAATATTGGTCATAATTAGGGTGTATAATATTTTGTAGGCACTGGGGGCCCCCTAGTGGCTGGGCCCCAGAAAGCTTCCCCCCCTATGTGTAGTCCTGTTTATGAAAACACAATTTAAGTGTATGCTCTTACACTCATAACTTCATGATTTGGGGCAGTTTTAGCTACTCACTGGCCGCTACGCTCGCTTTCCTGCAGCTTCAAACAGCATCACAGGGTAAGGATCTTTCTAGACTGTAGGTCCAGCTCTGTCACTGTCCCTGCTCCAGTTTCACATAGAACGGCGTTCTGCGGAGCTCATCAGAGTAAAGGTTGCAGGGCAGCAGGGTAGATTGCAAGGTTGGTCTTTAGAGTTGATATGCTTTCCTTGCTTTGCCCCCTGTGCTAACCCTGATTGAAAAGCAGCCTGGTACATTAGAAAGAGCTTAGTGGAACTGTCTCTTATAATCTTTAATATGCTACCACAAAAGAAAGTACAATTATTAGTTGTGAACTTGAGTTGATGACGTTTTAGACGGGTAACATACTGCACAATGAACCAAATCCTAAAAAAAAGGAATGTGTATTTCTACTGAGATTAAGACATGACATCAGCCACAACAACAAAATATAGATTATAACATCTTAGATATATTTAAAAAGCCTGAATGAAAAAATCTAAACATATGCAGAGGATTTGGAACTGATCCTCTTCCTCAGCATTTGAAAATAATCCTAATGATTGATCTGTTAGTGCAGCTTACTCTGCTCTGATCTGTATGAAATGATTCTGTAAGGACTCTGCTCCTGCATTATTTCATAGCCTGGCCGCCCTGTCAAAGAGTGACTGGTCTCTCAACCCAGACTCTGAGAGTGACACTCAGACAGTCTTCAGCTGCCCTTCAAGGTAATGTCACAGAGTGTCATCTGTGTGAAGAACTTACAGAGCGCCAAAGTTCACCGGGTGTATGTCTTTGAGCTGGCTAGTAATCTTATGCAACTGAGTTGTGTTTATTTTTTTCTTATTTTTGCAGTCATATCTTTTCAATAAGTGTTCATGGGTCTTAAATTATGGAAGACTAAACATGTGTCTCCAAAGCTTTGTTATAGGTCTGTAATTTCTAAAAACTACAAAAAAATATATATATACCAAGATAATATGCCAGCATTTTCTTTTTCAAAACATGTTCTCGGTGGACTTGCTGCGACCTTGTTACAGAGAATATATCTCATAACAGAGAGATGTTTTATTTAATGTATTAATAAATCCCTTCAATATAACTTTTCTCATTGTCTCTCTTGTTTTAAGTGTTTCAAGTTTGTTGATCTTTCATCAGTAACTTAGTAGAACAACTAAACAGAAGCCATATACTGTTAGATATACATATTACTATTATACTATAGAATCAGGCAGTGCGGGTTAAAATCCGTCCTTAGCCATTTGTCGTTTCCTACACTCTCTCTCTCCCCGATTTCTGACTCTATCCACTGTACCGTCTCTCCAATAAAGGCACAATAACCCCAAAAGTAAATCTAAAAAAAAAGAAAGAATAACAAACAGAAGAGTAATAGCTGCAGAATAGTAAACCATTCCCCAATGGGTGTAAAACTATGAATACTCTGGTTAAACTTCTCTTTGAGCTTGTATCAAACTTCATGTTTGAGATCAGAGTTAGAGGAAGAATCTGTGCTTACTCTGAATCTTGTCCAGATATAACAAGAAGTAGGCATATCTAACCCTCTTGTTGTTACAACTCTTCTGTCACATGAGTTGTGAGATCTCTAAACATAAGCAAACTCAGAGCTCTAAAAATCGGACAATTTATCCCTTAAGAACGATAGCATCCCCTGCATGTAGACCGTTGTTAAATGAATGTGTGTAGGGTTTCATAGCAGTTGAGTGGTGTTAATGAACCAGAGTTGATGGGCTGACAACATTAGTCAGCTCCATGCCATGACCCGGTCAGTCCCAGACCCACCAACTCAGCAGCTGAGACTGCACTCACATCACCCCCTCCTCGGATTCTCACCTATGAAATTACATCTGAGTCTTAAACCGTCAGTGACTTTGACAATGTTGTATCATAAGACATGCATTAACCCCCTTTTCCTCATTTGATTTGGCACTGAAAGGCACATAGAGAGGGACATATTACAACAATTCTTTTATATTCTTTGGTTACACTCAGTGGTCCATGGAGGGTTTAGAAACTGAAGGTCCATGGGTGTACATGTACAGTGGCCCAGATACGCGACATAGCGGGCAGGATGATACCCTGTGAAAAGATGAGGGTCCAGGGTCAGCCTTTGAGCAGTAAGGACAGGTGAACTTCCTGAAGGCATGTCAAGCTTGGTCAGACTTTTCTAGAAAGTGTGAACACAGCCTGAATTATTTTTATTGGTACACACAAAAAACAGCATCCGTTCTTTCATGGTTCATTTGTCAAACAATATAGTTTCTCCATAAAAAGGAAACCAAAATATTCCCTGTCACCTATTTCTTAAAAGAGTATGTTCTGATCCCTTTCTGCCAGGTTACATATATGCAACTGCTGCTGAATAAAATGCATCCTTATTAGCTGCTTACAGTGTGGTAGCTAGTATAGAGCTGAAGTATCACAAGCACTGTGTAAGTCCTTCATGTCGTGTCAGAGCAGAGGCCCATCAATTATGTCTGGCTTAGTGGTCTACAATGAGATTAAGGCAACCTTTGGCTACCAGAGGTCATGGGGTTGTAGATGAAAATAGTTCTAGTTCTGTTACTTTTTTGGCACGAAGACATCCGAGAGAGAGAGAGAGAGAGAGAGAGAGAGAAAGAGTTGTTGAACCAAGACCGGGGGCATGCTGCTACTTGACCTCGTTGCAATCCTACTGCAGGATTTGAGATCACAACTTGTCCCTGTGGTTGTTTCATGTCATTTATTTTTATGCAATGAAATGTTTCACAATATACATTTGGGTTTCCATATTGATAAGATTCTTAACATGCAAGACTACAGATTTTAGTGCAAACCAGTCATAGCACGTATTCAAACGTTTAAACGTTTAATTGCTTAGCTGACTAGACAGTTTACATTGTCGCCTTTGTTAATGGGCAATAGAATTAGTTGCTGGTTAAAAAAAATCAATGAAGGCCCAGAATGCAGGTCTAATGTTTGTGCCTTCGCAGCCGCCCGCCTCTAGCTAGGGCTGTAGCTCCGATTAATCGCTACTGCCCCACTACCATAATGCTCTAATAAAATCAACACAGTGGACGGATGGCAGCTCGTAGCACAGAGCGGTTTGGCAGTATTTTGATCAAGATAATGGAGATAAAGTTGTATGTTGGCTGTGTCAGGTTAAACTGGCAAGTAACTTATTAACCAGTACAGGCATGCAGACATTAATCTGAAAGGAGGCTGGTGGTGCTAGCATTGCTAACGTTAGTCACACTCAGCAAACCGATTTGAAATAGTTGTCCCGCAGAGGCTGTGATCCCGTGATTAGATGTGTTAAACAAATTTTGCTGAATTCAGACTGTTTTCTGAGCATTATCTTTCCTTTAGACTACTCAACTAGTCTGAATTAAAATTTGCATTTAATCAACAGTGAAATTAGTCGCTCTATGTAATTCAAACTACATAGATTTGATTTGCAAAGCTTGGGTGTCAAGTTTGTCTCCCCTACTTGACAGCTGGAAAAATAAGGCAATTACTATTTGAATTCAACTCTCTACTGAAAGTCTCTGTGTTGTTAAACAGTTGAATTTGTCAGGTTTTCTTTAGAAAAAATTTGGTATATGCCCTTGATGTGCTCCTTGTTTGATTTGAATTAACGGTTCGGAAAGTGGTGCAATACTGGAATTAAGAGTGACCCTTATTCATTCCTCTCTCCAAGAATCCGTGTAAGGGAACGATTGTCAAGGGATGAAACTGCCCAGAGGCCTCCTGACTGGAGTCCAGACAGGCACCAGGCTAACAGACAGCGTACGCAAGGAAACACTGCTCAGTATGCACCACAGCGCTCAGAACCCAACCAGCAAAGGACTGTGGCCCAGCCTCAGCCAAGCCCAGGCCACCATCCTGCCCATGGCCAAACAGCCTCCGTTCCTTCTGCTCCTGAGTACAAACACTCCGGCCCTGCTGCTGACTCTCAGCCCTATTTGGCCATCCCCGCCCCAGTGGCTGCTGCTAGATTGTCGGGACCTCCAGAGGTACAACCAAGAAGGAGAGTGAGTGCTGACCAAATCCATGCTGCCCACAAGGAGGCAAGATTGGAGGCCAAGCAGGTCCTGAAAGAAGGGGTCCATACAGAGGGCCTGCTTAAAAGCAGGAAAGCTGTGTTGCCCTCAGAGATCCGCCGAAGGGAGAAGAGTGTGGATGATCCCCACAGGGGCTATCTTGAAGACATGGACTGGCAGAACTACAGCCAGGAAAGGAGGAGAATGAGCCAAGGAGAGGAAGACTGGGATCGGGAGAGGCCGAGGGAGCGAGGGAGGGAGAGAAATGTTGAGAGGATCAGAAACAGAGACAGCCATGACACCCAAGAGGAGAGGGTAGTTAGATCTTTGCAGCCTTCCCACTCCTCCTTGCACCAGCAGCGAAGGCAGCATCAGCAGTCAGAGCCTGTGTACCATCAAGAGCCCCACACACACCCACAGTATGAACCCAGGCAGAGACAACATGAACCTCAAATTCAACAGCAAGATACTCAGAGGCAGAACCAGTTCCAACACTCGAGACAGCCTCAAGAGGCTCAAAGACCACAGCAGTCTCAAAGACAGCAGGAGTACGACCTCCAAAGACAGGAGCCTCCGAGTCAGCAGCAATACTCCCACAGAAAACCACAAGAACCCCAGCTGGTTGAAGATTTAATGCCTCAGAGGCAGCAGCAGCAGCAGCAGCAGGATTCATCAGGGCACCACAGGGTCGACTCTGCCGTCTACCTCCAGAAGGGTTCTTCTTTGCCTCAGGCCAAACAAAGAAGCGTGGAGATGGCCGGAGGTCTCAAACCCAAGATACGTACCCGCTCCATGTCCGATATAGGTCTAAGCCAGCATTCTGCCATGTACCGCATGGAGAGGGCAGCGGCCAGCAGAGAGACATCAAGGGCAGTGCCTCCATCAGGGGTGGCTAACGGAGAAACGGGAAACCTGGACACCAGAGTGTCTGTAGCACAGCTGCGACACTCTTATCTGGAGAATGCAAACCGGAAACCTGACTTGTAGGTCCACTGGCATGGGCTCTGTGTTGAATCACTAAATACCTGCCTAACTGTGCACGTGTTGTCCTTAATATATGTGCAGCATATAACTTAAAAGCAAGATAAATGCTCTAACACCAAGACGCTGAAGATCGTTTTCACTTTCCCCTTGCCCACAGGTTTAAGGATGTTCCAAAGTCAAAAACAAATTTGACTTCTACTTACTTTTTAAAGTTACTTAAAGGATTGTGGCATCCATAAAAATGATCCACAAATTATGATAATTTCTGTACAACCTTCAGTGCCTATGATGCTACAAAAGGCTTTTGACGTTTATGCAAGGGCTCATTCACTCGTTCACCCCAAAAAAAAAAAGAAAACAACTCAAAAACACTTAAAAAGCAGAAACAAAACTTCTTACTAATTAGATTAGTTGTAACAGCTCAGTGCATCAGAAACAATAAATTATGATTCTTTAAAATAATGCTGATAGAATTTCATTCTGTGGCATAACATGGGGAAAGATTGCTTACATAACTACCATTATTGTTTTTCTTGCAAGTGGTGGTTGTGTGCTGCTGCATGTTAACAATGGGAACTGGCTCCTCACATTTTGATGTGCAGTTAAGTTGTGCTGAGCGTGTGCATCAGTTACAGTCTGTGAGACCCCGTCCTGACATCAAAACCATTCATCACAAATATCTAACTTCCACTATGTATGTTTTTTTCCCCCTTGTCTCTCTTTTCATCTATACATGCATTTTAAAAGTGAGACTACTAAGGTAGATCTCTCAGCCGTGGAGGTGGATCCGGCCAACGGCGGCGATCGAGACAAGAATGCTCGGAGGCCTCGACGCTACATCACTCCAGGAGACAATCGCACGTCGGAGAGGTTCAGGACCCAGCCCATCACCTCTGCAGAGCGTCTGGAGTCAGATAGGTAAGGGCTGTTATTAGCCTTCTGAAGAAGATCTTTTGATATTTAATAAGAACAGTATTGGATCGCAGAGCACAGCACTAGGTTTACAATAAGATCATGATAAAATCCCGTCGATGCTTTATGTGTGTTCACGGTTTCGCAGGTCTCGTTTAAGCCCAACACAGCTGCAGGATGTTGAAGGTATGTACGCTATTTTAGAAAAGCACAACATATTTTTATGCAGAATTTGTTATGCAATTGAATTGAATTGACAATTGAAGGACATTTTATTGACAATTTTAGAGATATTGTAATTATAAGATTACGTTTTTAAGGCTGCATTTGTTGTTATGTTTTCTCTCATCAGATGAAGAAAAACTGGATGACAGAGCCAAGATGAGTGTGGCTGCAAAGAGGTCTCTCTTCAGGGTAAACTTTCTACATTATGTGCATTCTAGTTTAAAGATTAGTTGATTAATGCTGTATATTACTGTCTGAGTAATACCTTAAACCCCCTCATCTCAAAACCAAAAGCTGGAATCGGGTCCAGAGATACAGCAGACACGTGTGTGTGTAATTTCACAAGATATATACCTGCAGGTTTGTCACCGGGTGTAAAGACATTCAAATAGATATTTTTGTGCTGCACTTCAATAATCACTTACTGTATACGGCTTCAGTTTGAATTAAACACAAACTGATGTTTTGGTGGCATATTCTTGCAGGAGCTGGAAAGGACATCAGATGGAAGTGTTCCCAAACCGCGCTCTAGAAACGCAGCAGTAGAACGGCGTCTGAGAAGAGTTCAGGATCGCTCACACACTCAACCTGTCACCAACAGGGAGGTGGTCAATGCTTCAAGGTGGGCATTTGATTGTGTTTGCATAGCTGCATTTTGTATTGTACGATTCAGAGATGGTATTCTTGTACTCTGTCTTTCCTGAAGCGTTCCTGTTTTTCCATTTCCACCATCTTTTAACCTTTACATGTTATCTCTATTTTCAATATTTGTCTTCCATTGCATTATCTTAATTTCACTATTTCTTCACCCATACCTGCTTCTCTTCACTTTGAAGTGATCCTGCTGCATCATCACAACCACTGGGCATCAACACTAATGCAACCCGAGTCCCAAGCCCCACTGGTTTCATCACCAGTGTGACCAGTATAAGGTACATCTGGGCTGCGCTGCTGACTCATGTATCTGTGTTTTGTATCTGTTTGTGTGTGCATGTTTACTTTCACACCATATTTATTTCTATTTATTTTTCAGGGACAATGCATGGCGGCAGTGTTACATCTCATTTAAGTGCCACTTATGCGATAGAACTTCTAGCCATGGGTATTTTGCAGTCATTGTCCCTGGTCAGGCTGTAAGGAGATAACAACACTGTAAAATAGACATAAAAACAATGACAATTACAACAGAAATACTGCAGACAGGCAGCGATATAGATGCATATCTCAGGTTCAAGTTAATTATTTTGTACCCGTAGGTAAATTTGATGGCAGGGAGAGTCACATATACTTAATAAAACACAGATAATACATAAAACATACAAAGTGCAAATGCACGGTACATGGGTAAAAGTGCAGCAGTGCATAAAGTGCTCAGATTCCAATCGGACTGATGAAACTATTGCAAGTAACCCATTGGTGTTGAGCTGTAAAAGCTACAGAGTCCAGAGCAGTAAAATAAATACTAAATATCTATCTATGTATATCTATTCTCTTGTATCTATATTGAGTGATACTTCAACGTCTATGACGCCTTTATGGCTTAAGAATCAGATTTTCAAGATCTCAGGTCACAAAGTTTCATTAGAAAAATCCCCTATGGGTTTAGAATTTACTTTATTTTGGGTGGAAAAGAATCTGGATGAACCTGATTCTAGTTTGGAGTCTATTCAGTGAACACATTGTTATTAGTTGTTGGAAGAACGAAGAGATGAAATAGTTTATTTTAGACTCTTGCTTGATGTAATTTTAAATCTAGTACCACACCCGTTTTATTGCAGAAGTGCACCTGTTTCCCTCAATGAACTTCACACTTATTCTGAATGTTAATGTACTTCAGAGATGTTTTACTCTCTAGCTCCCTCTCCTGGTTGCAGCGCAGAATAGCTCACGCAGCTCATGTTACCTTGTTATTTCTGCTGCTTCTAAGCTGTGTGCACCTTATAGGGGAAGGACGGTGGTGTTTACACAATAACTCATTGAGTACTCTCCATGTCCCGTTTACAAGCGTTCCAGTAAGCGGTGTATCTCACAGACAGATCACAAGTTTGAGTGAAGAAATAGGTTACATATCTTATGGAAAGGTCAGGGGTCGAGCCAGTTGAAACTGTCTGCATGTCTGGGTTCACGTGTCCTGCAGTCTGTTTACCAACCCTGGTTTAGTTCTGCAGGCCGCCTGATGATCTCAATATCCCCTTCAAACACTCGAGTGCATTATATGATTATGTCTCTTGCTGTGTCTGTAGTCTGACAACGTTGTCACTGTTAGAAAACTGCTAGCAGGTATTTGCATGTGTGTACTATTCTTTATACAACAAAGGGGGGACACTGTGTTTGATATCTCAAGTTTCCATGTACAGTAAATGCAGACAGACACACAGACAGACACATATAACATACATTCATATAAATGGTAAATGGACTTGAGCTTGTAAAACACTTTTCTAGTCAAAGTGTTTTTACACCGCAAGGCACACCTACACACTAACACACTGATGACAGAGGCTGCTCTGTAAAGTGACCATCGGAAGTAACTAATCCCATTCATACACATTCACACTCCACCAACAAAACAGCGAGAGCAACTGGGGCTGGGGATCGAACCCCTGACCTTCAGGTTGAGAGACGACTGACTCTACCACTTAGTCCCACAGCATGTCCGATTTATCTTTTTTCAAGAGAATCTCGCCCAAGACAGCTGCCTAAAATTTAACATAAAGAGCAAACAACAGACCATAAACAATAAATTTGCAGCTTTCAGCATTAAGACATGTGCGTTCATACACTGATCAAATAATCCTTAATTCTAGTTTTTAAAATCATCTGAACTGATAAAATCCTCCAGTCGACTCAATAGCTCAGACCAAGAGGAGGGAGCAACAACTTTAAAAGCCCTTTTTTACCAAATACAATGCAAATGATTGGAATGAGACACATACATAATGTGTCCATGAGACCAAAGGTTTGAGGAGTCAGTGAAGAACATATATGAGAGGGCAGTTCATTCATGAAGTTAGGCCTTGCAAAAGAAGATGTACCATCTGTTGTATAAGGAAGACAAACCTACTTTTTCACACAAGACAAAATGATGTGGAGACAGATTGTGATGCAACGTGGTACACTTAGTCCAACTCTTTCTATGACCATGAGGGAGCATGCATTAAAGAATATCACTATAAATCAATACCTGATAAAAAATGTTGTTTGAATGAGTTTATCCTTGCAACAAAATAAAGACAGGATTTGATTTTCTTCTTATGATGGAAAAATCTTTTATTCAGCTAAAAGTGTGAGTTTAAACCAACCAGATGTAGCATATTGTATCTTGACATAAAGATTTCACCACATATGTGGTGTGAGCCTGGGGCAGCTGTGTGCTCTTTTTGCAATCATCAAGAATATAAATGATGATTTCTGCTTTATCGTATGTCTGCTTTCATTGAAATATCTTTCTAAATGACTCACAGTCATAACTTACCCACTGATATCACTCTGTCACTTCTCATTCAGCATTCAGGCCTCATCCCAGCCAGACCCAGTGGTCCAGGATCAGGAGAAGGAGATCCAGGAGCAGCAGAAACCAGCTCAAGTTTCCGGCGCTGGTGTTGAAGTAGACGACCTGGAGCATTTTACCGACGAGCATGACCTCTCGTGCCTCACCCTGACTGAGAAGATGGCCCTCTTCAACCGCCTCTCTCAGACTACAGGCAAGGCGGCTGAGGGGGCTCGAGGAGAAACCCGCCAGCGAAGAGCACAAAACCGGTTTCAGACTCAGCCCATTACCCTGGGAGAGGTGGAGCAGGTAAAAAAAAAAAAGGAATTGCCCCATGACAATTTGACTAATTAATTATTCTAAAAATAGGAAAATACTTAGATTCAGGAAGACAATCATCCTCTTTCCAAACACACTTGGTTACTTTAGTGGCATCTACTCTACATGCACCCTAATAAAGAAGATGTTATAATGATTTTATACTTATTAAACATGTTCACAATAGGTGTTTTCAGACCGCAGGAACATTTTTATAGTTCTAGGAACTGTTGGAACACCTGACCCTTTTTTATTTATTCTGCACTGCAGGAACTATGAACTATTTTAGTTCCTAGAACCCCTTTTAGAGGAACCTTTTTAGCTCCTGCTGCAAAGTAGGATCCATGGTGGTGCGAATGCAGACAGAAAAAAGTCTACTGGGACAACTCAGGGGCGGGGCTCATAACATTTAAAGAGACACACACACTAAAATGGAGCATTCTGAGAGAGCTGGTTTATACAGGATCTCAAACCTCCTCTGGTGCTTGATTCATGTTATATTTTGACCAAAGCACAGCACAGATGTTTCATTTAGACCACAGGGGACTGTTTGGAAAGGTGGAGAAGGGGGATAATATGTCCTCTTTAATATAATATACATCTCTTATTTTTCAAGTGTAGAGTCTTTTAGAACAGATGAGCAGAAGAAATAATACATTTATACAAATGAAGGATGCTGTAGGTCAGGATTATTTTGATGTAAGATCGTGCATAGAACAGGCCTGAAGCAGAAGACCAGACACTTCCAGGTCACTTACACTGCAGCGAGTGCTTTGCGGTGCACCAGTTTCCTTTGGAGCGTGATGGATGAATAACATTGTTCCCTTTGCAGCTGGATGACTCTGATACTGCAACACAAACAGAGGTCACTGAGTTTAATCTCTGTTTGTTGGTCATCTGTAGATTCCTATATTGAAGCTCAAAAGCAGAGAACTGGAGAAACAAATCTGTTTTGTCAGTTAGGAATCAAGCATCAATGATCTTGCTAAATGAAATACTTTAAAATCCATTAACCGCCCAATACACACATATGTTGCCCTCTGTGCAGAATTTGCATTTACAGCCCTTAATTCCATTTTCTGGTATTACCTACAGTAAAATAATCGCTGATATTCCTCCGTCGACGAACTGCATCTAAAACATATTGTCCCAAATTATAACTCTCACAGAAACCTAAGACGCTTTGTGATAGGTTCACTTCTCTTACACCACGTTCAAAACAGTAAAAGTGCATCATAATCAATCACTGCTGTCCACACAGGAAGCTGAGCCGCCAGTTACCTCTGAGGTGTGCAACGGTAACTTAGAGGCCACTCGGGGAGGACATGTAAGACCCCTGCTGCCTGTGCAGATTAATGAATGGTCCTGCTTTTGATAAGTCCTATACGTCCTGCTACTGCTAGTGACCAGTGTTGCCTTGTTCTGGGAGATGCTTCAGTAGCGGGGCTGAGCTTGATGGTGTCTTTAAAGGCAATTCAGTGTGGATTGTTCTTTGATTTTAACGTGATAAATTGCTTTGTTTTGAGGATTCATTTTAAAAGTTAAGTATGCCCTGTCTGTGTTTTGTAACTCCTTATTTTTTAGATGTAAACAGCTTCTGTGACATGCCAGCTCTTCACATAACAAGCATGGGATCGTTGAGTGCAAGCGGTGCATGCTAGTTTCTTCAGGCTACCTCAGGAACCTGAATAAACGAGCAAAATAAATGCTTATCGAGGGAATATGTTTGTGCATTGATCTACCCTTGATATCGACTGTGTGCAGAAATGAATGAGAGTCAATACATGACCTTGCATTGCAACTTGAAATGACTTGCCTTCTGGTAGGAGTTTGAGTTTCTTCTAAAGCTGCTGGTAAAAGAGAAGGAGAATATAAATACAGCACACTGATGTTTTTTTAGTCATGGTTAAATGTTGTCTTCTCTGACCTTTGAGGCTTTGATACAGATCACAGATGTCATTTTTCTGAAGTTTTTATTTGCTACCTCAATTTACAAACTGACATCACTTCTTTTTCTTCTCATAATAATGATTAGTTTCTATTTTTTAGTCTGAAATACTAAAATAAAATGTATTGGTAATGGCATTGTATAACAGTCACCCAGCTGCTCAAGTTTAGGCCGACAAAAGTTACATCATCAGTAGCTGTCAAGGTTTTGATTTAAATATCTCAAATAGATTTTTTGATACAAGTAAGAAAGGCTAATAGAGTTATAAATGCAGCATTTATTGGAAATGTGCAAAAAAATGTGCTGAAATATTGGCTTCTAAACATCTGACAAAAGGACCACAGATGAAAATGTCATAAGAATAAATAAAATAAAATAACATCTGGCTGATGTTTCTCCTGATTGATCTGACTGATTGTTTGAAAACCAATATTTCGGAAAGTTTCCGTACCAGATCTATGCAACATGTATCTATGGTGTTGTTTTTTTAATTTTTATAAATGACATAATTTAGAGTGTCAGATGCTGCTGCTCTACAGGCTTTAGTTGTACTAAAGTTTTTGCTTATTGCTTATCTGTAAGACAGAGTTTCCAAATCCTATCCTTCTTTACATTCTGACATAATTCCTGTTATTTTTGTGCAGCTGAAAAACGGTGACGAGATCAAACTGGAGCCGTTGTCAGCCTCCCTGGTCCGCTCTGTAGCAGCCGTCACCTCCAAAGCCTCCGTCACTACAGTTCCCATCACGCCAGGCAGCGGTGGTGTTGCCGATGATGACAGTCTCCATCCAGGGAAGTCCTCCGCCACCGCCGCCCCCTACATCCCTGTTCAAAAACAGGCGTCAAGTACCACAAACCACCAGGAGAGGGCGTTAAGGTACTTCTCCATGAACCAGAGTGGGGACCATGCCCAACCAGAGGCTGAGCTCAACTCCACCCCCGTCCTCCCTGAGAGCCAAGAGCGAGTGGGGGCTCCTCTTGCTCCCACCTCCTCTCCTAGTCACAGGCAGCAGGGGGAGACAGCGGAGGTGGGCTGGAGAGAGCATCAGGAAGAGGAGGTTTGGGGGAGACAGCAGGGAGGAGCCAGAGAAGAGAGCCAAGACGGTACTATTAAGGAAAAGCTCCACTCCCCTGACAGGGAAGGCAGGCAGCAGCAGCATCCCCATCCTCAGCCTCAGCACAGGAGGGGCGAGTCAGAGCCTCTGCCCAGCTGGAGAGCCGCAGACGGAGACTCCCAGGAGAATAGGGACAGAGCTGAGAGCGGAGGAAGAGAAAGAGGAGGAAGAAGAGGAGACTACCTGAGAGAGACAGCTCACATCGCCTCCACACAGGAGCCGGAAAGAAACAGCATCAGGAGCCAGGCTGGCATTTCAGGTAGGAGGCTGAGAGAGAAAAAGAGATGGAGAGATTTTTTGGGGAAAGAATTAAAAAAAGAGCTGTGGGTAAAAGGAGGGATGAAAAGATAAGAGGAAAGGGATGTGACAAAAAGAGGAAGCAAAGTCTAGTGAAGGACCTGTTCTCATTATCCTCATTGTCTTATGCAGCGTGCTCCCACGCATGGTCGCCTTCTGCCGGCTCCACGCACACACACACTTGTCCCAGCTGGGGGTATTTGATTTGGCCGATACAGAGAGCCGGAGTGTGTGTGTGTGTGTGTGTAAGAGAGACACAGACGTCTGAGGCTGCATCTAATTAGCATATTTTTCCATGCGTTTGCCTCACGGCTCCCTTTGTCTAATAAAAGAGGAAGCCCTCTCCTGACAGGCTGTTTGTCACCCAAAAGACGTCAAACCTTTTTTTTCAAATCAAGCTGTGTGCTCACTGTCATCGCCTTTAAAGGGGCTGTGGTCTCCCTGCACCACATTATGCCTGTGGGCTTTAGCCGTGCTCATGCTACAAAATAATGGAGCTGACCTGTTTTTTTCATGTTGATAAATGCAGAATGCGTCCAGGGTGGGCTTTTTTTCTCCATGCATGCCCACAAACTGCACACACAGAAACATGAAAGCACTCAGTGAGAGTGTGGGTGCAGAACAATTGGCCGGCACTTGCATAAAGCAGGTAGAGGACTGGAAGGATACAATGGAAGCCTTGTCTGCAGGCTGTTCTCTTTATTTAGTTCTGCATGGGCTGATCTTCACAGAAGTATAGCCCACTATATCTTAGTATCATGAGGCTGGAAGAACCTGCTTTGACTTACACTAATTCCCCTGGGACTTAACCACCACATGCTGAACACCAGCTCATACCTTTACAGAAACAAAAGACAAGTCTAAACCTAGTATATAGAAGCTTTTCTTGTGTTTTGGTCCTTAAATTCACCCTGTTATGTGACAATATGAGCACATTTTTGCCCCCACAATGTTATAAATAAAAATAGACACAGCAGCATAGACAGCAGGCTTTGGTTGATAACATTTCCAGCCTTATAAAACCTGCTGCATGTGTACATGTGCATGCATGTGCTCTAAGAATGAGTGCTGGTAAACAAGGGATTCATGGTGAACAAACAATAATTTAAAACCAATGTGATAATAAGCGTGATTTTGATCAATTTCTATTGCTCCCAACTATAAAACTAAATCTGCTTTCGATTCTGCCTGTGTGTTCCTACAAGCTCTTCTTTATTGACTTCTTTGAGACTCTTATTAGTTCTTTTGTACATCATGTAGTGTGACATGATTTACACACGTAAACTAACTAACTTCAGCAAATTCAGCATGGTGCCGATGATCTAATGGAAAATCATTGAGTCAATAACTAGTACAGACACCTGTGTCAGTTTGCACAACCGTTAAACCTCAGTGAAATGAACGCTACTTGTTTGGCAGGATTTCACTAGAACATATTTGGGTATAAGGAAATAGCCTTCACTAATGTTGTGTTCATTATTTCCTCAACTTGTCAAGTAGAGCCAGTTCTTGAATGATGGTTACAGAGGACACTGATGCAGGTCGCAAAATACAGCCAGGGGTAGACAAAATCTAAATTTCAAATGATTTGAAAGAAATATTTTTGCTTTAATTAATCATCTTCAACGATAAAATTATTTTATTTCTCAAAAGTTTCTGTTTCACTTTTGCAAAGTGTCAGTTTCAGATGTTGCAGATGTCGACGTATTGATGGCTCGCTCGAACAATATTTAGTGAAAAATGCAAAAGTGAGCAGGTCTGAATTAAAATACTGTAGTAGGATGGAGAATAAACAAGGACACATCAAAGAAAACCAAATGGAGATTTCGAGAAATAAGTCTCAATATTAATAGCATAGTAATTTTAATAGCAAAAAAAACTTGCTATTTAAGGCTGCGGTTAGCATGCCTTTCATTGAGGAACATGGAGCATCTTATAAAGTAATACTTTAGTACAAGTTTCACAAATAGTGCGGGCTGTTCTTCTGATACTCTCCTTCAAAATAGCACAGAGCCTAACCCAAGTAGCAACCTCCAGTGTTGAAAAATGAAGCCAATGCAGAAGTGCAAAATCCTGCCCCATCACTCTGACATCTCTCCCTCAGTGCATGTCCTCAGGATTCTGTTAGTGCATGTGTGTATATTTCAGCCTATGTGTATGTAGCTTGTTCTTCTTCTCCTCAATAATTGGAGCAGAAGTAATTATTTACACTCTTGACTTTTCTTTCAGACTTGCCGGATCATCCCGCTCCACTGAGACCACTGGTAGCGAAAGTTTCATCCAGAACAGTTTCTCACATCTCAAGCAGTCAGCAGCAAACACACATCCAACCTCCTCCAACTCTTCCTAAACCCTTCACACAGCAGCCGCCTCCAACCCCACCCAAACCTTCACTAGACCTCCAACCCCATCCGCACCACCAGCCCCCACCGACGTACCCCAAACCTTTCACCCCCTCCCCTCAAACGCAGCCCAAACCTCAGGGATTCGTCCAGCCTCTCCCTAAGCCTTTCTCGCACACTGCCCCTCCGACTCCGCCCAAACCCCAGGTTCCTCCACAGACACCGCCTAAACCTCAGTCCTTCCCCCAGTCACTGGTCAAGTCCCAGTCCATGCCTCTTGACCACATCGAGGACTTCAGCAGGCACAGTGTCCATTCTGGAGATCTGCTGTCCCCCACAGATTCTGGAGACCAACTGTCTGACAGCATGTCCAGCAAACAGATGTCTATCAAGGAGAGGTAAGTGACAGCTCAGGGTTTCATTCAATGGCAGACACATGAAGTCATTTGTTGCTACTAACAAAGGCTGCCAGAAAAACTGATTTTACATAATTTCAAGATTAGAAACGTGTGCAAAGTCTCCACAAATATAAACAGCAGTTTCCTGATACCGTCACAAAAAGCTGCTTATTTCTTGGCTTATAACACATGTTATTAATTTGATCCCATTGATTAAGTAATCAGATTTGGATTGTATAATGCTGTGCTTGTATGGGATTGTGTTTTTTCCCAATATGCATTACCCTAGCCTGCAGACCAGGGCTGGAGCTAGGAAAATGTCCTACTGGGCCTCAGAGAAAATGACTTATTTTGGGGAAAAAAAGCAGTAAAATAACAAGTCTAAAGATTTCTATCTTGGCTATTTTTATAATGATTACTTAAAAAAAGTGCACAGCCTGTTTAAGTACAATTTTGCTACTTAGACAATGTCATGTCGAGGGATGTTCCTAGCCACTATGATGAAAAGGAAATTTAAATTCACAATACAATACTCTCTGGATCGGGACTCTGGATCTGATTTTCTTCACAACGCTATCACAACAACTCTGTTTACTGTAAATCATCCAGAAGGAGCTCCGCTTATAGCTTGTAAGGGAAAACAATGGCCGGCTCCCAAAATAGAGAATTGGGGCTAAAGTGCTCCTCAAATCCTTACAAAGCTGCAGGCACAAGTAAACCTTAATTCCATTCACATTTCCAGGATCCAATCACAGCTTGGCTCTTTACAAGGTGAAAACTGTGATGTCAGCAAAGCACAGTGTTTGACAGAATCAGGCAGAAGTCAGTGTACACCTGGTCTTATAGTTTTTAGGCTGGTCACTCACTATTTTATGTTTGAGGGCGACAGAGATTCATTTTTAGCAACGTTGCAGTTCTCCTCTCTGTGTGCAGGGAGCTTGTGTGGACTGTATGAATCCTCTGAGGTTTAGTAGATACCTCCACATGCCCTCCTTTCTGCCCTGTCCCCACTCAGGCAGTGAAGATGACATACTTTCTGTTACCCCTCAGACATCCGTTATCAGCGCCGTGTATAGAGCTTTTTTTTAATTTTTTTTTTTACAGTCGAGTTCCCTGGCTGTGCTGTAGAAATCCCTGACCTGGTTTTTCACCCTTGAAGGAGTTTTATGTCTCTATGCCAGCGACAGCCAGACCAGATAAATTATGTTTTCAGGTCATTGGCCCGTTCTTTTCTCCTGATATTCCATGAGCGCCTGAAGGTAACTTCATTCCTCAGGCACAAAGTCCACTTAGACTCAAGGATAAAGTGTTTAGAGTTTGATGGTTTAAGGTTGGAAGGTCAAGTTTACGAGCACCTCACAAAACAAATGTTTGGCTGAATTTCAGGGATAAATATGCTAATAATGTATAAAATGGTGAGGTGCTGACATTTAAGACCACAAAAATTTGAATTTAACTGTGAAAGCATAATGTTATGCAAAAAAAAAACGTTCTCTAAAAAAGTTTAAGTGAAGACAGCTGGATATTATCCTCTGGAATCATAAACTGTTTTCACACATACAATAAAATCTGCAGACTTCAGCTGTGATCCCAAACCGAATCTTGTACTTTAACTGTTTTTTCCCCCAGTCTTTTATTCAGATGTCAAGCTATCTTACTCACGTCTTATTAAAATGTACTTTTTGTGTTTGTGTCAGAGTGGCTCTGCTGAAGAAGAGCGGCGAGGAGGACTGGAGGAACAGGATCAACAAGAAACAGGAGGTGGTGAAGGTGGCGTCCACAGAGGAGCCGGCTCAGCCCAAGGAGAACGAGGAGACATGTCAGAAAAACGTAAGTCTGATCTGAGCCAACACCATGAATAAATGATAGCTCAAATTATATTCACACCATTTAATCACAGTTATAATGTCATACAGGACAATATGCATGGTTTGGAAACAGTCAATTGCAGCATTTGACTGTTTAAGGATTCTTGGAATGAGCATACAGAAAATGCATCCAAGGAAAGAAAAAGAGGGCAACACAATATGATTTGTGACCACAGACTGTTAAAAAGAAGTGGACGTCACATATTGGTTACTAAACTTCTGTTTTGAAGCCTTGAGTCAGGTATTTCTGGCTGTCGACATTTCTTCATTCATTCACTTATGTATTTATCATTTTTCATATTTCTAATCAAAAGCTGCCAAAAGAGAAAGAGGACTTTCTAAATTGCACAAATAAGTCAGCGCCAACTTATTTTTACACTTTAGAGCAGGGGTGTCCAAACTACGGCCCGCGGGCCAACTGCGGCCTGTGGTCCATATTTAGGTCATATTACTCTCTAAATATTAGAGAGTGTGCAGAAGTTTGCCTGACTTTTGGAGTCATGAAAACCAGAAATGTCCCATGCCTAGGTTCTGTTTTTCTGCATTAACAAGATAATAATCCTGAATGTACGAGTTATGAAGTGATGCGTTTGTCGGCACAACACCCACGCCCCAGTTGCACTCCGTGGTGATCCAGTATTTTCGGAAATTGCCTTACTGTGTCTGGACTCACCACGCAGCGGTGCAAGTGGATTTCAGATGCATCACATTAACTCAGTGAGTCAAGTCTTACCAGCACAGCCGATCCTCATTGATCAGAGCGGATTTTGCGTCTGAACTGCAAAGATCAAAGTTGCCTGCACCAAGTCAACTAACTAGGAATAGTTTCTACTTTTTTCGGGCCTAACTATTATCGTTTGAATCAGCCGTTCTAAAAAAACAAGTTCCAAATTTCATCCCCCGGCCCTCCTGGTTGCCATGCCAGCTCCTGTCTCTGCTCTTTTAGCTAAGTGCCCCTTTCATTTCCTCCTTTAGTCCATCTGTTGTTTGAGCTCAGTGGTCCAGACCAGTGCAGCATCCAGGAAGCATATGGGACCGTCTGCTTGTAGAATTAGCAGTCTGGGCGTTTTGGGAATAAATTCCCTTTTTTTTTTTTTTTTGATTGATCAGATTTGGATGAGCTTCAGTCTGAGTTTCTGTTATGATTTAGAAAGGTTAGTTATGTCATTGTTAAAGAATCTCTTTCATGCATTTATATGAATGTTTGTTGGTTTATCAGGAGCTATGATTCCATTTAGAAGCTGAAATAACCTCAGATTTCAGGGCTGACAGTTTTTTTTTCCTGCAGCTCATCTACTACACATTAGTATTCTGTTGGGCAGAACAGCCTGCTTCAACCCTGGATGGTAACCCTTCAGGCAGTCTCACCCCTAAAATCCATTAAAAGCAACAATGCTTCTCCCCCCCCCTTTTCCCCTCCCTCTGACCGAGTACTTCCCCTGTGTTTAACCCCCTCAGGAGGAAGGGGTGGTCGCTCCAGACTGCTCCGCTGTGTCTGTGTCTGAACAGCTGTGGGTAAGATCCGTTGGCAGCTCACACACCAGCTCTGTACCCCCTCACACTCAGCCTGTGTGTGTGTGTGTGGGACCTGTGTTGTCTAATCACAGCTTTGTGTGGATTTTGTGTGATTTCTGCTCCTGAATCTGGGGTTCTTTGATGTCTCTGCACTTGAACTCTTTAATGCCGCTTTACTGGTGGGAAACTTACAAAGATGCTTATGTAGTTTCTTCTCAACGGTTTTCTGCAGCTTATTGCTGATCTGGAAGAAGTAATCAATGTAGACTAATCTTAAAGAAGTTAAATGTAAATCAGTCATCGATCCACCTTCATTTATACTTGAGAGATCACTGAGGGGGCAACGGTGATATTGAGTGAAATAACAAAAGCAATTAAGTGATGAATAAATAACACTCTTAATGTAATATTGTTTCACACATTTATTGCTCATGCTGCATCATTTCATCTCCAAGATCCTCTAAAGATGACTAAACCTGATTCTTTAAAATAAGTGACCATTATGAAGGTTTGAGCGCTGACTTTGTCTTTACAGGCCAATAACTGCTGTTAACCCCAGCTGACAATCACATTAATGTATTTTACAATATACAATACAACACAACACATACTGCATCTTTAAGCTGTCACTGTGTGTTTGACTTTCATTGCCTGTGACTCGCTTTGCCAACATACTTCTGAACTAGTATTTCTGATTCTGGGGCGCTGATAGTCTAGAAGTTACGACGCGACCCATGTAAGGAGGCAATCGTCCTCAGCGCAGTGGCCGTGGGTTCAAATCCGACCTCGGACCTTCCAAACTTTTCCTGTCTCTCTTCAGCTGTCCTATCCGTTAAAGGCCCTAAAAATATCTTTAGTATTTCTGATTTTGATTTCTGACACGACAGCAGCAGAGGGCCAACGGCTCTGCAGTTTGATGCATCATAATAACATTAAACATTAATATTATTTTTAATCACCTAAGGTATATTTACTGCATTTTTTTTATTATTCGGGGAAGGGCAGTGTCTATTTTTATTCAGAAGCATTTAATTTTACTTTTGAAAATGCCTTTGTCATTTCTGACCTACATTGAGACTTTCATCGTGCATGTCTGTATTTTCTAAAAACGTGTTTCACTTTATGTTTATGTGTGTATCTTCTTTAATCTGCCTTCAGCTTTGGTCTCATAGTCCACACTAGCCGATAGTTTAACAACAAGTAACGTTGACTTTCCAGGGTTCTTGCGATCTCACCTTTGCACGCCTTCGTCTGCATGCTTGTCGTTTTCCATCCATCTCCTCCTTTTCATTTCTTTCTTTCTTTCTTTCTTTCACTTTTCCATCCGCCTCCTCATCCTCAGGAGCCTGTCTTCTCTTCCACCTATTCTCCTCCTATCCCCCTCGGCCAAAAGTGTCAATACATTGAGCATCATAGTCAGGTAAGGACATGCACCTAGCACACTTGAGTGCCCCACATACAGCGTTTGTATCTTTTCTGCTTTGTTTGCAGCTTCTGGTTTTGAAGGGTGCTTTGGTTCTTACTGCATGAGTACATCTCTGTGTAAAGCCATCACTCCCACTTTGGAATAAAGAAAACAAGACAAGGTAGAAAGGACATGCAGCTAGCACGCCTGAGTGAATCAAATCATTTCTTATCTGCCTGGTTTGATTCTCCTGAGAGAAGTGTTGCATCATATAAAGTCAGAGTGTAGCTGTGTGAGAGGTGATGCAGTTCTTTATTCTGGGATTCAGTGGTGCCTGGATGACTTGGTTTTAATGGTGTTAATGCAAATGGTTCCAACATTACCATATTAACACTGGAATAGCTGTAAGGTCATCCTGATTGTGCAAAGGTTACAACTTTGGCATGCATGACTTTGGCTCTGCTTGCATAATCTTTGATTGTTCGATCATTTCTACGATTGCCTCTCGTCCGTGCAGAAAGTGGGAGAGGACATCGAGGCCCAGATGACCATAGAGGAAAGAAAACAGATGATATCGGTTCGTGAGGACGCCTGGAAGACAAAGGGCCATGGAGCAGCCAATGACTCCACTCAGTACACCGTGGCAGGACGCATGGTCAAGAAAGGTCGGTGCAGGAAGCTGTTTTTTATCCAGCCATCGCGACTGAGCAGAGCTCTATTTCAAAATGTCATCAGACATTTCATTAGACTTTACCCTACACAGATACTTTAGACAGACATTTGTTTACATTTCAAGGCCAAATATCAACCTTTATGGACAATATTTCATGCATCAGTACAAGTGGGTGAAACGGTGAAATGCAAAAATGCCTCCTATCAAACGGTGCAGATGCCCCAAAAGTAGCTGAACGTGTTTTTCTTTTGAACAGAGGATTACGTCATTATTTAAAATCTTTCTCTTCAGATTGTCTGCCATCTCGTGCTGCACATGCCTGAAGAGAGAGACAACTAATCTGAGAGCCAAAAGTAGCACACAATCAAATAAATGTGTGTTGTTGTTGGGAAGCATAGAAAAGCACACAAAGCAGATATTAACATGCCTGAACCCCTGCTGTTGATGATATTATTATCATCATTAAATGTTCACTATAATGATGGAAATGTGCTGGTAGCAGCAGCAGCAGCAGCAGCAGGTTATCGTTTCTTATCTAACCGCAGTGTCGGACATTTTGTTCTATCTGGTGTGAATTGTGTGTCTGTGTGTCTGCAGGCCTGGCAGCCTCTTCAGTTATCAGTCCCATCCTGTCACCGGTCTCCACCAAACTCAAGAGCATCACGCCGGCTGTCAACAAGCCACAAGAGGGTGAGACGGATTTATCACCGCCTCCTCGGCTAAAGAAACCTCTGTCAGAAGATTTAAATAACCAGAGTTTCTCACACTGAAAAGACTGATTTGAAGCTATTTATAAACCTTTTTGTTGCTATTACTAGAAGTGAACGTGAAACCAATTTTTAAAAATGGAAAGAAAAAGATTCAATACTGGTCATTATGAAATCCAATTTACTGATGTTGAATTATTGAATTATAGAAATTGAGGCCAAACCCAACATGGAATCAGACAAGAAGCTGGACAAGTTGGAGAGCTTTTTGGGACGTCTGAATAGCAAAGGTACGTATTTTTTTAACGGACTTTAAGCTTGTGAAATGATTCCCCTGTATCAGACCTTTTGAGACTTTATTCTATGTATTTATTTCTGTTAATGTTGAATGTGTTTGCTGAGGACAGATGAGTTATTCATCACATCTAAACAACAGAAGTTCTCCTGTCTTTCTGCCCTTTTGACTATTTCTGCTTTTTTTTAAGTATTTCTGTGTTCAGGCCTTATTTTGTTTTTTTTTGTGTTTTTCTTTGTCGATCAGTTGCTGGTCTGCAGGAAACCACCCTCACAGTGACAGAGAAGGCCGTGAAGGAAGTGATGAAGCTCGATGACGAGATCTTCTCCAAGTTTTACCGACACGTTGCCGAGTTCCCTCGCATGCCCACCAGGATCGAGATCAGCGAGGATTTCGACTCCATCTTCGGCTCTCAGTGTCCAAAGTAAGAAAAATAAGAACGCACAAACTGATCGCTGTAACCACCTGTGTGCACGCTCACAAGTCACACTTTCTCATCCTCTGCAGGTTGACCTCGGCTATGGTGCAGCATAAGCGGATGGTGCGTCCCTCCAGGAACGTTCAGTCGTCCAGAAACCCTCTGAGGATGCTGGCGGCCAGAGAGGACATCAGACACGAGTACACCGAGCAGAGACTGAACGTGGCCCAGCTGGAGAGCAAGAGGATGAAGGCTGAGAAGAGTGAGTGTAAAGATGGCAGCTTGTGTTTGTGTAGATTATCCTGATCTAGCCAAAGAAATCCCCAGAGGAAAAGTTGGAAACATTATTGTTGATTAAAGCCTACAAAACATCATCCACCTCTGCCACTTTATTGTAAACAGTACTAATTGGGATGCAGCCTCCCTTGACCCACTTCTGTAGCAGTGTTTACAGCGGGGATTTCATTTTGTTAAATTTTAATGAGGCAGTTATTTCTCTCCCGCCTGTTGGTGTATCATTTCTTTTTTTCTTCTCTCATTCCAGCAAATAAATCTTCTGAGTACTCCGAGGCGGCTCTGGCGGGTTTGGCCAGTAAAGAAAACTTCAGCAGCGTGAGTCTGCGCAGCGTCAACATCTCGGAGCAGATGTCCAACAACAGCGCCGTGCCGTACAAGAACGTCATGCTGATGCAGATCAAAGGTATACTGTTATGACTCCTCTGATATAGGAGGATATAGTGAGGTTGGTTTTATCTGAACAGCCTTTTGCTGCCAACTTTTTGTGCTGATTTCCAAAACATTTCTTTATATTAAGGGTTTGGAATGGAGTTTATTTTGATTAAAAACTGAACACATGAGGGAGCTTGAGGGAAAGAGATGTCAGAATAGACACAGCTCATAAAAAACGGTGACTGTGGCTGAGCGGTAGAGACAGTTGTCTCTCAACTTGAAGGTTGGGGGGGGGGGGGTTGAGCTCCTGCAGCGACATGTCTGATGTGTCCTTAGGCAACACTCTTAATCCAGAGCAGGGATGGGCAACTTTGGTCACAGCACGGGCCACGGTCATTTTATTCTCCAAATTGTAGTAAACAAAAAACGATTACAATCAATTATGTCTCAAATTTTACTCAAGATAAACCAGTGATGAATTATTATTATGGACATATTTCTGGTTTTCATGATTTCATGGCAGATTTTGTCATGTTTTCTTCATGTTTCCAGTTAATTGATGTGTAAAAATTGACCTGAGGACCACATTGAGGGCTGATGGGGGCCGCGTGTGCCCACCCCTGAGTAACCTGTAAATGTGTATGAAAGGATTATTTATTACTGATGGACACTTTATATACAGTAGCAGCCTCTGCCATGCCTGCCATGTGTAGACGGGTGTGATTGGGCAGGTGTGACTTATAGTGTAAAAGTACTTTGAGTACTGTAGTGTAAGTAGTGCTAGACGAGCTCAAGTCCATTTTCACAACATAAAATTCAAACTCAGAATTCATTATTCTTCTAAATATGATTTATATCTTGATAAGCTGGGCTTTTGTTTTCCTCCTGTCTCCAATCTTTGTGCATTGCTAAATCAAGTTTACCGGCTACTCGCTGTATCCTTATATGTTAAGGACAAAGATCTGACTGGTTCTTCTCATTTCTCTCCACCAGGAAGATTAGTCTGTTTCCAAAAATGTCACCAAAGTTCCCTTTCCCTTTAAAACGTGCCTTTTGTTGCATTAAGCCTGTTTTTTTTTTTGTAACATGATGTTTATTTGCTCCGATGGAACAGAAAGGTGTGGCAGATAAGATTTTATTATTCTTTCCAGGTCGTCGTCACGTTCAGACCAGATTAGTCGAACCAAGAGCGTCCTCCCTGAACAGTGGAGACTGTTACGTGCTGGTCACTTCTGAGCACTGCATCGTCTGGATAGGAGAGTTCTCAAACGTCATCGAGAAGGCTAAGGTGAGCTCTCTACCTGGGTTTGTGACAGACTGCGTGTGTGGTTTGAACGTCCAGCATCAAAGGGACTGTTGGGATATTTGCATATGCATATTTGAATGGACGTAGAGAGGGAACGAGGAAATACGTTTAAGAGACACAACACGTCCTCTCCTCTGTGGCGTCACATTAAGCAACATCTGTTTGTGATCCAGCTGTGATGAGCTGTTTCTGCAGAAATACACACTGTAAAAAACACACAACAACAGTCTTTAAAACCTGTATGTTACCTGATTACAAACACCTGCACATGAAGAAAAACCTGCAGGAAGCTAAAAACCAAATGGACGGGGAAAATCGTCTTACTGATTATGAAATCTACCATTTTTTTTTGTTTGATGGTGAATCAGAGAACAAATTAAATATAAAACTCTGGAGTGATAGGCCGACTCTGTATTGATTTTATGGAACTAACGATGATATGTTGTTCTTAATCCTCATGTCAAACATTTTATTTAAATCCGCGCTCATCACAAACCGACTCTTCAGACACTGATTGGTGTTTTAAATCAGTTTCACCGTCTGGTCAGCGTCTGTTTTAAGGTCCGTTTGTTCTCTGTTATCAAATTCTGGTGATGTGAAGTTTTATTGAACAGCTGCAGCGTCCAATCAATGAGTGAGACTTCTTGTGTCCTCGCTCCTCTCTCCTCTCTCCTCTCTCCTCTCTCCTCTATCTGCTCTCCTCTCTCCTCTCTCCTCTATCCTCTCTCCTCTATCTCTCTCTCCTCTCTCCTCTCTCGTCTCTCCTCTCTCCTCTCTCCTCTCTCCTCTCTCCTCTATCCTCTCTCCTCTATCTGCTCTCCTCTCTCCTCTCTCCTCTCTCCTCTCTCCTCTCTCCTCTCTCCTCTCTCCTCTCTCCTCTATCTGCTCTCCTCTCTCCTCTCTCCTCTATCCTCTCTCCTCTCTCCTCTCTCCTCTCTCCTCTCTCGTCTCTCGTCTCTCCTCTCTCCTCTCTCCTCTCTCCTCTATCTCTCTCCTCTATCTCTCTCCTCTCTCCTCTCTCCTCTCTCCTCTCTCCTCTCTCCTCTCTCCTCTCTCCTCTCTCCTCTCTCCTTGGTTGAGTTGTAAGACCTTTTTCGATCCCTAACATGGTAGGTCAGGAACTACTTCCTGGTTCGAGCGAGGAGCGAGGAGACAGTATTTAAAAGAACTGAGATGCACAGAAAGACAATTCAGCCCTCTCATTTTAACACACAAGAAGACAGACAGACTAACACAATAATCAAACACACACTGGGCACGTATACCCATCTGTGCGACTTATCAAACACGCTCTCAGGCTTGTTTAAGCTTCGTCTTTTCCCCAAAGGACGTCGTCTAGACACTTTGTAATAAACATTTGTTTCTCTACACTACCTCCTCATTCAGAGGTGTTAACTCATTTTTTAAAGCTTTTATGTAATCCGAGGCTCGTCATGGTCGCACGACTCGGTCTTCAGTATCTGACTCACTTTTTAAATGGTCTCCCTTTTAAAGAATTGTTGTATAAATGTGAAGCAGGGTGTTGTAGAGGTCAGTTCATTTTCCTTGTAGTTAGCTTAAAGTAAAACAATGAGAGACTCTCACAGACATCGTCCCTGTTGTTGTTTTTTTTTAAGGCCTAAATATGTTTGTTTCTCACCCGAAGGCGATCGATTTGGCCACCTTCATCCAGACCAAGAAGGACATGGGCTGCAGGGCGACACAGCTGACGACCATCGAGGAGGGGGTGAACCCACAGGGTCCAGACACCCAGCAGTTCTGGACGACACTAGGGGGGCAGACTGCTTATCAACGTAAGTCATGAGCCCTCAGTACACTGATAACACGAGAAGGTTCAAGGTTGATGCTCTACCCTGATCGCATTGATCCATATTTCTGCAGACTTTTTGGATGGATCCAGAGAGTCGCACTGATGTCTTTTTTTTCTGTCTCTATAGCGACCGGCCCCCCAGAGGAGGATGAGCAGTTTGAAAATGCAATAGTGGAAACCAACTGTATCTTCAGGCTGCTGGATGACAAACTGGTCCCCGATGATGACGAGTGGGGGAAGGTCCCTCGCAGCTCTCTGCTGGCGTCCAAAGAGGTCAGGGGGAAAGTTCTGTGCAGCTCTCACAACGTTTTGATTTCTTGATAAATATAGTGGTAAACTGTAAGCAGGAGTTTGTAACTACAGTAATAATTTCAGTCGTCTATAACTGACTAATGGTAGGACTGAAGCACTGAATATTTAGATTCACAATATTTCAGTCTGAGAGGCTCTGAGCTGCAAGCCGGTTTTAATTTGTTGCTTAGGAACAGCAGGAGCCATGGCACAAAAAAAACAAAAAAACTCCTACATCCATCTGTGCACTGCTGCCGCTGCCGACAAAATGAAACGGGTTCAGGACACTGGGGCTCTCGCATATTAATGAAGAAGAATCGTGCATTTTTACTCGTCTATCTTCTTCTGTGCAGCACTGATTGAGATCTGCCCACAATAGTTTGTGCTTTTTTTATTTTGTTTATGATAAGCTTTGGCTTATTTTGTATAGTTTTACTGTTTGTTTTTATCATACTCACTAAAACAACAAGTCATAAAAAAGTCTGTGGAGGAGATTTGCTTGTCAGGAAGAGTTCTTCACATGTTGCTTACAGAGGCATTCATCACAAATAAAGCAGCTTATTGTAAGTTCACAAACAAACACAACAACCTGCTTTCTTGTTGTTTTCTCGTCGTTTGCATGCTGCAGGTGCTGGTGTTTGACTTTGGCAGTGAGGTGTACGTGTGGCACGGTAAGGAGGTGACTCTGGCCCAGAGGAAAGTCGCCTTCCAGCTCGCCAAACATCTTTGGAACGGGATGTTTGACTACACCTGCTGTGACGTCAACCCGCTGGACCCTGGAGGCTGCAACGCGCTCATACCCAGGTAAGGAAAAAACAAACACACAAGTCTTTTATCTCTTATCTCTACTTAATGTAAGTCATTTTCTGGAGGCTCACACTAACTGTGATCTAAAATGGAGCGTGGCGTTGGATCAGGCAGGTTCAACGGCGTCATGCTCTACTATCATGCCAGAGTTTTGGTAACAGCTGATCTCACGCAAGCTGCATCAGCTGATGGACCAGCTGATTTGCTTCACAGCCTCCTATTGGCCAAATAGTTCTTATGCCGCCTTATTTAAACTGCTCTAGCCTGCCTACTCTTTGCTGCTCCCTCTGCAACCCTCCTCCACCCCAGCTCCTCCTCTTCTGCTGTTCTGACTTAATCAATTTCATGCTTGTCATTGATGCTTGCTCTGTTTGGGTTTGCTGCTTCTCTCCCTGCCTTAAGCTTTCCTTGTATGCACAGGAAGGGCAGGAATGTGTGCTGTTCTTGCTTAATGCTGTCCATGTAAGCATGTGGAAGAGCAGGGAGATCCCAGAACAGAACCATACCGCCAAAAATGAATAATTGTAATAAAGTATTTTACTTGACAAAGTGATCCTGACTGAACTCAAGTTGTGGCATCTTCAAGAGGTGTGACACAGAGACGGGGATGTAACCTATAGCACTGCTCAGAAGTCAAGGCAAAATAAGCAAACACATGACCCTGAATACTACATCACTTTTCAGACACACACATTTACAGAAAAGGTGCTTAACCTCAGATCAGTCTTCTGAAGAAGCCACTGTGAGAAAAAATGATTTAAAACAAAAACTGGTTTCCCAAAATAAAAGTATGAAAGACCGAAATATGAAATATTTGTGTTTTATAAGTGTCACTTTACCATCTTCCTTGTATTTTAAGTATCAGCGATTATATGTTGAATCTAAATCACAAACAGCAGGAATTAAAAACTCTTTTGTTTGTCATTATTACATGTGCAGATGCTCTTAACTCAACTTGTTGTGTATAGATCTCTGCGTTCGAGCCGACGCATCAAGTTCAATCCTGACTACTGCTCATCCTTCCTTCATGTGTTTGTTTCAATACCAGGAAGGGCCAGGGCCGTCCCGATTGGGCGATATTCGGCCGGCTGACAGAGCACAATGAGACCATTTTATTTAAAGAGAAGTTCATGGACTGGACCGAAGCGAAGCTGCCATCACCAAAGGAAGTGTGCGAGATCATACCTGAGCAGAAGGTGCGAAATCCAACGCTTTGATTTTAAAAGTGATTGTTTTCAAAGTTAGAGCCATCAAAGAGCCGTCATATGTTTCCTCTATCCCTCCATCTGTTCGTTTATTGGACTGCGGCTCGCTCACTCAGTCTCAGTACATGTTGCCAATAACAGTTGGTTACTCACTGGGGCCAAAACAAGAATTAGGGAGCATATGCTTTTGTGTAGATGCTGGACAAAGTCTTGATGAATGAGCCAATGTTTGACCAGCTGAAATAAAAAAAAGGGTATTTTTTTCTACCTGTTAGACCAGACTAGAGGATTCTTTCATTATAAATCTGTAATCTTTGCCCTCTTCATTTCCCAGGAGGCCCCTGGGAGAGACTGTCGGCCCTACGACGCCACCCTGATGCTGCCTGTCCTCCAGTCGTCCATCTCCACCATCTTGGACGGTGTAAACGTCGGGCGTGGTTACGGCCCGGTAGAGACGGAGGATCACATGAGGCTTCAGGAGCTCAGCACAGCGTCAGTGGACGTGTGGCACATCCTGGAGTTTGACTACAGCCGTCTGCCACGCCAGAGCATCGGGCAGTTCCACGAGGGAGACGCCTACGTGGTCAAGTGGAAGTACATGGTCAGCACCTCAGGTCAGTCGCTGTGTAAAGGAAATTACAACCTCTATAAAACCAAAAGAAAAGTGTGAGTGGGAGCTACACACAGGGATCAGATGAAATTTAACAATTGTGCTAACTCTGTCGATTTTACATTAATGCATATCTCTGATTTGTGAGTCATTTACACCGTTCTAACATCATGAATTTAAGAAATACATACATGTGTATTTACCTACTACCTATACTCTGATCCTGGAACATTTAAGTTCATGGTTTCATGTGGGCTGGGCATGTAAATAAAAACTTCAAACTTCAAATCTAATTTGCAGTGATGATTCTTAATCTCCTGTTTTTTTGTCAATTTGTTTAGAAAAATTCCAAATTATAAAACAAATCCTAAGGCAGTTATCTGAGACAGGCCAATGATCGGGCATTTAGATCTTTGAATATGAGATATTTTCTGGTATTTAACTGCAATGACATTAATTGAGGCAAATAACAAATGAATATCAAACCACAAAGAGTGAAAAGACTTGGAACCAGGAACACTAGTAACCTGAAATGGTTCGAATTAATTTCCTCTAGTAATTTTCTCTCACTCATGTGCATTTTTTACCTTTTGGAGTGAGGCCTGATAGAGAGGCTGTGTTTTCACACCTTTTTATGCAGTCAGAAGAAGCTCAGGCTAGCTGGCAGCTAACCCCCTCAGATTAACCGGTGAATAAAAAGCTGCTGTTTGGGTTTATTTTGGATTCAGGTGAGACATGTCGCAAACGCAGGTATTGTGTAGAACATGAAGAACAACAGATAGACCTAAAAACTGTGATTGATAGCCAAAGATTCACTCTAAATGTGTGCCGATTTATCACTCTATAAAGCGTTATTGGCATATTGCAGAATGCTAACACACATTGTATTGTTTCTAAATGGTGCAGTCCTACTTTGAAGTTTGAAGAACTTAAAAAGAGTTCAAGCTGCAGTTCTAACTTTTTTTATTTAACAGTTGTGACACTTCAGTTTTTTAAGTTTTGTTGTGTGTGTGTGTGTGTGTGTGTGTGTGTGTGTGAATCCCAGTCGGTCGCAGGCATAACCCCGAGGCGAGGAGCACGGGGCCGGGGAAAGAGAAATGCTGCTACTTCTTCTGGCAGGGTCGACACTCCACCGTCAGCGAGAAAGGAACGTCAGCGCTGATGACGGTGGAGCTGGACGAGGAGAGAGGAGCACAGGTAAGAGGGAGAAGACTTTTCAACTCACAAAGTCAGAAAACAAAAACAAACATGAACAGAACAGAAATATAAAAGGTGTTTATAAATTATTTCTGGTGTGAAATTAACAAGAAAGGTGTTGGAGTTCTGCAAAGGGACAGGGAGAAGAAGATGAACATTTAGCATTTGAGAGGTGTTACTTGTTCTTATGTATGCTTTTGCATTCCTTTTATGACTTGATGACTCGTATTAAGGACTTGGTTTGAGGAATAAAACCAGTTGTCAAAGTGGTGCCATGTTTGATTAGGCAGATTATCGTCAGCCTGTGTGAACCCTGTGTCTGTGTGTTACAGGTTCAGGTGCAGCAGGGGAAAGAGCCTCCGTGTTTCCTGCAGTGCTTCAACGGAGGGATGATCATCCACGCTGGCAAGAGGGAGGAGGAGGAGGAGAACACTCAGAGTAAAAACTATACCTTCATATTTATTAGTTGTCATTCTTAACTTCTTCCTTTGAATCAACCAGAAACTGTGGTTGTTTAATGACTCCAGATTTTTACTTTGTTAGGAGGATAATCTTTCTTTTCCTTTGATTTTGGCAACAATGAAAGTTTTGTTAGCTACAGCCAAAGTCTGCCAAATACATTTTTTAAGATTAGAAGATTAGATTAGAAGTCATAATTATTCATTGCACTGACGTACTGTAGCTGCTAACTCGCAAACTTTGCAACAAAATACAAAATTCAAAACAATGTGCAGGATATGTGTCAATAATTTAACTCTAAATTTGATTTGCCACATCCTCAAGTCTCTGCTCATTTTGGATCTGAAACATACTGTCCTACAAGCTTTTCACTGAGAGTACAATGTGTTATCATGACTTTTCTTTGAGTATTTTTGTTGCAAGAAAGTTGATGTGATTAGTTTTGTTTTTCATGTTTAAATTACAAAAGCTCTTAAACACACACACTCTGCTGATTATTCTGAAACGCTTGTTTGTCCCTAGGTGAGTGGCGTCTGTACTGTGTGCGAGGCGAGGTGCCGGTGGAGGGCCATCTGCTGGAGGTGGCGTGTCACTGCAGCAGCCTGCGCTCCAGAGCCTCCATGATCCTGCTCAACATCAACAAGGCCATGATCTACCTGTGGCACGGCTGCAAAACGCAGCTGCACACTCGCAGCGTGGGGAACACAGCCGCACTGAAGATCAAAGAACAGTGAGTGGATTCGAGTCATTCAGTGAAACAAACACAAAATAAAACCCGTTGGTTATGGGTGTTTTTAGTTGCCATGAAACAAATTTAAGTTGTTCTCTTCTTTTTTTGTATTTCTCTCAGGTGTCCCCTGGAGGCGGGTCTGCACAGCAGCTGTAAGGTGACCATCCATGAGTGTGACGAGGGAGTGGAGCCGCCGGGCTTCTGGGAGGCTCTGGGGAGAAAAGACAGGAAAGCCTACGACTGCATGCTGCAAGGTACAGTACAGTCTGTGCTCATCGTCTGTGTTTACTTACAGAGAATCAGCGGTTCATTTGCTCTCTCTCATCTCTCAGTCACACAAAAACACTCACCTCTGAAAAAGCTAGCACAATCATTCTGAGAGATCTATATGTCGAACCAAATCTCAAGCTACTGGTGCCAAGTGTAACACAAAGAAGACAAGAATTTATTTTTCCAGTTGAACAATAAAATTGAAGTCTGAAGCATACATGTTGACGTCATTTTACACAGCAAGACAAAACTGTACCTGCCAACAAAAGTGTAAAATGAAAGTTTAACAGGACAAAAACTTGGATGTCTTTTGGGGGATTTTTTGTTTTTTATTCAGGGGATTAGTAAAATATATAATTTGGGATACAATCTAAAGCTCCAAATGTTCAATTTGCTAAACGTGTAGCTCTGATTCATCCTGTTCTGTTCTGGTTTCTGACTTTGTGTTTTCAGATCCGGGTAAATTTAACTTCACCCCACGGCTTTTCCAGCTGAGCAGCACATCGGGGGATTTTGTGGCAAATGAGTTTTTCCACCCGTCCAGAGCTGCAGACGTGGTCAGCTCGCTGCCTTTCCTGCAGGAAGACCTCTACAACGCAGCACAACCCGGTGAGGCCTGGATACTCACTTACTGAAACAATAATAAACACTGTTCCTGGATTCAAAATAAGCCTGCATGTATATACCTCACACTGACATGCAGCGTCTCTCTCTGACAGCGTTGTTCCTGGTGGATAACTTCCACGAGGTGTACCTGTGGCAGGGCTGGTGGCCTCAGGACAGCGAGAGCACCGGCTCGGCTCGTATCCGCTGGGACGCGGACCGGAGGTGTGCGATGGAGACCGTGCTGCAGTACTGCAAAGGTGAGGACGATGGTCAGTACAGGAACACAGGTGAAATAGTATTTAACATCATGAAACAGCATGAGAGCTGAATACTGAAGAACACCAGAACATACAATTCTTCATGTTTGAGAGTAATGCTACGGTGCAGGTTTTCAAGATGTATCAAACATGATGAGATTGATTTTTACGGGGTTTAAGAACATTTTTTATCCCTATAATACATATATGTCTCATAACTGTTATATAACCACTTTTTAAAGTAAAATAAATGATACGGCCAAGAAAAAAGCCAGAAAATGTAAAAAAAGATCATATTTTAATGATATTTTGATCATTAAGATGAAACAGTCACTTTTTATTTTCTGTCTCTTTAACACAAATAACACTCTCCCCTCATATTAATGCCCACACATGTATTACTACCTTGACATGTTACCAACTTGTTAATCTGTTATTTATTTAAGAGACGATGAAAACATTCCCCCTCTGTTGTAGTCAAACCTGCTTTTTCCAGCTAAATTGCAGCGTTTGAATTTTTAACTGTGGTGCATATTTGAAGCTTTATCCACATTTTTGTCCCTTGCGGTCAAAGTTATCGTGATGACTTCATTTTCTCCTGCAGAGAAGAACGAGAAGAAGCCACAGAAGTCATATCTGATCCACGCCGGTCTGGAGCCGCTCACCTTCACCAACATGTTCCCGAGCTGGGAGCACAGAGAGGACGTGGCTGAGATCACAGAGAGGGTCAGCTACACGCACTTTATTTATACCTTTATTACCTGCTATTATTTCTGACTTGAATCTATCAAAATAGGAAAAAAGGCGTTTTGCATTGATGGTTTAATATCAAAACGTTGCCAATAAATGTTTGTTTGCTAGTTAGAGAGTGAGCAGGAGTTTACCTCTAAATATCTACAGTCTTCAATCTATCAACACATTTCATTTCCTCCATAGGAACCAATAAAATCTTGTCTTATCTTATTTTATCAAACAGTATATACACTAAAGCTTCTTTCTTCTCTTTAAGTGTTTCATGACTATTTTCTGCTGCACATGTGTAAACCAAGTGATGACCAAACCCTCCCGCTGTCATTACTAAAAATCAGCTGTTTCTGCTCCTTCTGCAGGAGGCGGAGGTGTGTAACCAGATCATCCTGGTGGAGGACGTGTTGGCCCGGCTCTGTCAGAACACCTTTCCTCTGGATCAGCTGCGAGCCCGGCCGCTCCCAGACGGAGTGGACCCGCTGCGTCTGGAGATCTACCTGTCGGACCAGGACTTTGAGGTGAGCCGACAGAGGAAGTGTTAGAGGGAGGGTTATAGTTTCATTCCCTTGGATCAGACACTTCCAGTCATTGAAGCAGTGCACTTTTGACTCAAACCTAAACTCATGTTTGCACATTTTGAAAATTCAACACAGAAGACGATCTGATTATTACATTTAGTAACTTTTTCGAAGCTAATCATACCATCCATCCTAACTCCATCCTAACTCCATCCAACTCTCACTTCACAGACAAAGTTGTAGGTGATGTAAGGTAAGAAGAGCCACTCATGTGATTCATCAGCATTCACAGAGTCTCTCTCTCTCTCTCTCTCTCTCTCTCTCTCTCTCTCTCTCGAGCACGTCAGCACTTTTGTTTTTTTCCTTCTGTGGTTTTTGAAAAACTCCGAGTCTCTCCTGTCTCTCCTCTCTGTGGTGTTGGTTTGATGAGGAAGGTTTCATGCTCGGCTGCACAATTACATCCGACGAGTGATCTTCCCGATGACTCGGTTCAAAGTTACAGTGGAGTCTTTTTTTTTTATTTCTTTTTTTAAGTCACACACGACTTAGCGACACAGTTTCCCCACACGGAGACAAATATAACATGACACGCACTCCAAACGTAGATCCTACAAGTGCTGGGGGAAAAAAGAGAAAGATATGATACAGGAAGTCGGGGTTTACTTTAGGGGAGTTAAATTAAAAAAAAAGAAAAAGCATACACACATCCATGCACAACACACACGTACTCTCCTGTAATGATGAAGATGTAGAATTGTGCAGCTGTTGTTCTTTTCTTCTTCTCCTCCTCTTAAGAAGGTTTCTCTCCAACACCTTCCACAACACAGCACTCCTGCTCACTTCTGTACTGCTGCTACTACTACTCTGCACTGCACACACACACACTCACACACCTTCCACCTGAGAGTCTCTCATGATTCAGCTACACTGCAGTCTGACTCACCGTCTGCCTGCGGAGCACAAAATGGAGGCATGAAAACACTGAAACGACTAAACTGTCCTTCAAACGTTGAAATGCTTTGCCGAGGTTTTTTTGTTCACATTAACAACGACCCGCAGAGGATCAGATCACAATGAACATAACGTCCATGTGTGTTAGAAACTGCTGAACTCACATTCAGAAAAAATGTCTTTGACTGAAAAGTCATAAGTGTGCACAGGATATTTTTTAAAGCAATGGTGCTGCAAAAGTATAAAACTATTTCTGATGCCTTACATGACCAAATTTGAGCAAGTTATAGGATATGCATCACTAGGTATCCATCTATCCTTTTAAATCTCATCTTTAGAAGTGCTTCTTCCTTGTAAACATGCTCTTTTCTGCTTTTTTACAGTCTACTGTTTCTGTTTTTTATTGTATATTTTTTCTTGGGACATGATTTGTGCAGTTTTTATCGTTGTATTTGTGAGGTGACCTTGAGCATCATGAAAGGCATCATTAAATAAAATGTATTTTTATTAATATTATTATTATCCTGGATGATAGAGGGAACAGCATGTCAATTTCAAAAGCTATTTCTCTGCAGCATATCATACTTATTCTCCTTTTATAATTAAACTGGGACGATCATTTACAAAATGTACAGACTTTAAACAGTCCAGACCATAATAATAATCATAATAATGATGATATAAATAATCAGCGGGAGAGTGTTGAATTAGGTCACAAATGAAGTAAGAAGTAAGCATCATCATTATCTCATTGACTTCCAACCTGGATTCTTTTAGCAATCATGTGAGTCGCCCCCTGCTGGCCATCAAACAGAGTGCAGTCTTCACTTCTCTCATAACGTACGGGCTGTTATTGGTATCTCACTGTGAGAGAGCAACTTTTCTTTTTTTTAAATTCTCATTTTATTGAGACAGTATAATCACGAGACCGTCTTAGATTTTTTTCTCTTCAACATTTTTCTTTCTTTTTCTATTTTTTTTAAACCTCTGCTGTACATTTGTAGCAGTTGAAAGAGCAAACTTTAACACATAAAACTCACTTTATCTAACGCATTTCAATCGCCTGACCTCGAGTGTCGGAAATTTCAGATTTTTAATCCAAAGTTCCTAAAAAGAAATGTTTAGGTAAATGTTTATACTCTTGACATCAGACGTGTTAAAGGCTGATGAGTGTAAAAGTCACTGAAAGGGTTAAACATCTTTTAGCATAAATTTGAAGACAACAGCTACTTCAATGAAGATAAAAAAATATTTAGTAGGTCCTGATGGTTTTTTTCTGTATTCCTTACAAACCAATGCATCACACATAAAACACCTCTTCTCTTTGAAATCATACTTTCACTTAAACAAAGACCCTGTCACATTCCCGTGTGTCCTTGCCTTCCACTAACGATCTCTTCATGTCTACAATTCTACAATTCACTTAGCAGACGCTTTTATCCAAAGTGACGTACATCAGAGAGTAAGAACAACACAAGCACAAATCTAGAAAAGAGGAAACACTATACTGTGAGTAAGCGCAAACGATCAGCTTTCAGTCTGATTGGACACACAGGTGCTGACAGGAAGTGACCAGAGGCAGAGCGAAACATCGACGGCTGTTCTAATCATGGTTCTGTTTTGTTTTTCCGTTTTGCAGAAAGCTTTGGACATGAAGAGAGAGGAATACGAAGGTTTACCAGGGTGGAAGCAAGTGAACTTAAAGAAGGCCAAAGGACTGTTTTAAAGCAAGTTTTCAATTCAAGATGGCGCGTGAAGGGAATAA